GGTAGAAAATCATTAAACCCTAAAAGGTCATGTTCACCTTCCAGAAGACAGGGGTGGCTGTTGTAAGTAGCTAGGTCACTATTTTCTTCCTCATTCTGGACTCTGTTTTAAATTGGTCTCAAGGAACGTTATCACATTTTCTCATCCCCTGGGACACTACAGGCCCCACCCTGGGAGACCTGTGTAGATGGGCCACCTGTCCCTTCTACCTCCATCTTCGGCTCTCCCCAGGCAACCCAGGTTCTACCATGCCGAGATTTACCAGTGTCCTTGCCTATTTTGAAGACCCACTTCTTGCTTCCATGAAAAGTCCCTCTGCATGCAGATTTTAGCTGGAGGGACCAAGACACAGCTATCGCTGAAGGCCAGTTCTGGGGCCACATGTCATACTTGTGACAAACACTTGTCATGTGGTCTGACTGGGGCTTGCCTTGGACTGTTAAGGCCAATGGTGGACACAGCGGCTTTGTCTGAATCTCATGTGCAGTCAGGCACTCAAGAACACATCCAGAAACATATCAGTCACATTGGGAAGCAGAGCCTGGAGAGCAGGGAAGCCCAAGACCAGGTTTACTAGACAGGGAAGTTTACTATTTAAAATTAATATGTGCTCATTACATGATCTTTTCAGGGAAATGTGAACTAGAACTAAGTGGTGTAGCTTTCATTCCTTTTGCCCTCCTTTCTTCCTTCCTCCTTCCTCCCTTCTCCCTCCCTCTCTTCCTTCCTTTCTTCCTCTCAGAAGGATGGTCCTACTATGTTTCTCCCTCTGCTCCTAAAGACAGCAGCCAAAAAGTTAAAGCCCTTTGATGGAAACAGCCCAGAAGCGCACCTTTAGGCAATTTCAAAACATTATTTACATAGAGACCAAATGTGACTGAAACCGAAAGCTAGTGACCATCCAGGGGGTTTACCCCTGACTGGTTGTTCTTCCAACACTCTCCAGAGCAAAGCAGTCCATCTGCCTCTTAATGAGGGAACGGGGTCAGGGAGTGGGGTTCACTGCTGGAGACGGATTAGGGACACTTAGCACCGCGTTAAGACCCTGGGACATTCGAGGCTAGCATGCGGCTTTTCACCCTTGCTACTGTTTGCATGTTGGGCGATCACTGCTTCTCTGTGGAGATCCTCTCTCTCTCAGAAAAACACGGTGGCACCTGAGGGCTTTTCCAGCCTTGAAACCCCTATGCATGCAAACAGCTGTGGGACGCCGCACGGACTCAGCACCCGGCCTGTGGGCAGGGACAGAACTGAGGCTGTGGTGTACACACCCACCCTCCAGTCCTCGCTTTAGGGGCTGCATCTATGATGGGAGAGACCAAGACTCAAGACAGGTCTTCCTGAGGCTTTGGTGAGCAAGACGGGAGACCGCAGGAGACTAGGTGGGGCTCCTCTGCCCTGTACATAGCGCAGCAGGGCTGGCTAATTCGCAGCAGGTGTCTGCGCTGCATGCTGCTGGTGAGCGCTGTCTTGCTGGTGGGGCTCTGGAGGCATAGCCCTCTAGGGGTACAAGCTGTCATCAATGTGCTGTGAGTCTCAAAGTTTGCCTGACTTTGAAGCAATCCTACTTGCTTGAACATGTCACAGGGCAATCAGACTGAGTTGCCTCTTAGTTTTGTGGAGTGTTATTTTTAAGTGCCAGGCTAGATGACATGCACAGCCAGAAAAGATACAGATGGAGAAAATTAGAATACATCTAAAGAAAAGAATACTTTGCAGTAATATGTGTGTGAACATATGTGCAGGTACATGTATGTTCCACATGTATGCATAGGTAGATAAAGATGTATACTATAGGCAAGACCCTTATTTGTCAAATGAGAAAGGTTATAGAATAGACAGCATGTGTTACCATTTAAAAATTAGATATATAATCACATGTTCAAAAAGAGATTCCAGCTCAATGCGGTGTTATACATCTTTCATCTCAACACCAGGGCATTCCAGGCCAGCCAAGGCTACATAGTGAGAAAAAAAATAAAAAATAAAAAAAGATAGGTTAATCAAAATAGTAATATCTGGGTACCTGGGAGGCAGGAGGTAAGTTTAAAGCAGTTGGCTGGGCCCAGAGGCACACACCTGTAGTCTTAGCTCCTCCAGGGTCTAAAGGGTAAGAAGAGTTCAAGGCAAGTCTGGGAAACATATTAAAACCATCTCTGTCTTCTTCTGTCCCAGACACCTCAGGCTCCACCATGCTGAGACTTACTAGCGTGCCCGCCTATTTTGAAGACCCACGTCTTACTCCCATGCAAAGTCCCTCTCAAGGACTCATAATTCCTTTGGGAGCTCAGTGCTGGTGCAGGTGGGGATTGACTCAGTTGCCATCCTCAGTGGTACCCATAATCATTCACTGGTGCAGAGGCGACAAGGTGGCTCCACCCAGGGTCATCTTCTGCGAATCCTTAGAAATGTGATTATGAGACCCATGCTGATCAGCTTAATCAGGAATTTGGTTGGCCCAGTGCTCTGGGCTCTAGCAACTCAAATCGGAGAGTCACTGACGGAAAAGCAGGGGAGGGTCCTCTGCCACAGACCTGCTTGAAAGTCTAGCGCTGGCCAGTGGCTCTCAGCTTGTCTGAATGCGGGAGTGTCTTTGTTCTTTATTGGATTAGGGGACCTGACAAGCCTTCGTTGTGAGAATCCAGGGGTATTCTAAGGTAATTCTCAGGTACACGCAGAAGAAACTGGCCAGGTGAACACCCTCAAGGTGAGGAGCACGCTCCCCCGGCCTTGCACTGCCACGTGCTCATTAGGCGTGCTCATACACACCTGTCCAGGCCTGAGGGGGAACCGTTGCCGGGCGTATTTCTGAGCACTCTGCCCAAGGACACCCATTTCAGAGGAAAGACGGGATGGAGTCTGACACACAGGTAGGTATAGAGGGTTGGTGCTTCTGGGAGTAAGATGGAGTCGAGTCGGGCGGTGAGGCGCAGTCCGGTGGTGTTCGTAGTAATGCAGATTGCTCTTAGGCTGCCTGCCCATTAGGCCCCAAGGCGTTCCTATCCTGTGAGAAGCTGCTGTAGACCCTGGATGTGCTCTATGTTAGATGAGTCAATATGCACCTGGCCTGGAGCCCCCACACCACACACCTTTGTCAGCTCTGGACTTCTCCTTGCTAGTTCTTCCTAGCTAGGGCCAGACCAGAGTCTCCCCAGTCCGATCCTGAAAACTCAGGAACATCCCTGGCTTCTACATAGTAGAACCCCCCTGGGTTGCTGCTGATGGCTGGCTTTGTCCATAGGTAGCAACGGATAACTATACAGCATTGTTCAGCCTCAAGGAGTATCAAAGTCATTTAAAAAAAAATTGCTGGGTGGTGGTGGCACACACTTTTGATCCCAGCACTTGGGAGGCAGAGGCAGGCAGATCTCTGAGTTCGAGACCAGCCTGGTCTGCAGGACAAGTTCCAGATTAGCCAGGCCTACACAGAGAAACCCTGTCTTGAAAAAAAAACAAAACAAAATTATAACATTTTCTTTTGGAATATTCCAGTCCCCCTACCTCCAAATGACAATGACTTCCTTAACAGTTTGGGGATGTCCCAAATAGTACAGTGGACACTATTACTCTCATTACAAAAATACAAGTGCAAGACATTGCTTCATAAAGGTGGGAGAAAGCAAAATGGGCAACCTGGCAGCACTCTCAAAGTGACCTCAGATGAAGCCCTAGCGTGCTACCTGTGCGAGTCGCCTGTGCGAGTCACCTGTGCCAATCTGTCTGAAGCCCCGAGGAATACAGAAAACACAAAACAACAGAGTATCAGTTGCTGCCAGGTGTTTTCACATGAAGCGATGTCAAAGGGCACTGGAAGGAGGCATGCCCTATGGTGAACACAAATGTGTTTAACTCCAGGCAACCAGTTCCAGGATCCTCCTCAGGTTCCAACATCCACTGACATTCAAGTTCCTTATGTAGAACGTGGCAGCGTTTGTGCAGAATCCAGGCAACCTCGCTTCCTCATAACATAGCATGATGATTCAAACAGCTTGGAAACTACCGCTGGGCTGTATTGTGTTTGGAATAACCATAAGAAAAACCCTGAATGCTCATGTGCATGCTGCTGCTTTGAAAATTACCTAAGTTGGACGTTTCTTTTCTTCTTGAGTATTTTCTACCTGTCCTCCATTAAATCCACTGAAGCAGGACCTGCCGATATAAAGGCTTATGGCAGCCTTCATTCACGTCTAAAAAACCAGTTTGCATGCAGGAATATTGTTGGTTTAATCTAGGCTTTCTCTTGGAGGAGAAATTTAATCAAGATGACTGGATTGGGGATATTCTAGCCAAATCAGCATGTCTCATCAGCTAGAGCAGTGGTTCTCAACCTTTCCCAATGCTGTGACCAAGGTTCCTCATGCTGTGGTGACCCCCAACCATAAAATTATTTCCATTGCTACTTTATAAATGTAATTTTGCTACTGTTATGAATCATCTTGTAAATATCTGTGTTTCCTGATGGTCTTAGGTGACCCCTGTGAATGGGTCTTTCATCCCCCAAAGGAGTTGAAACCACTGAGCAGAAGCCACCTGCCCAACTGGCTTCCCCTGTCCATCATTTGCCAAAAAGTGTTTCTTTTTATTTTCTGTGTTAAGATTCTGTTAACTGTTTCATTGGTAACACTTAACTGTTTTCCTCCCTGGGAAGGCAGTTTTCTGGAACATTCTCTGCGCTTCAACCCCATCCTTGAGACCCATCTCTGACCGTGGCTCCCTGCGCTGTCATTAACTATCAATATAAAGGAACAGGGAAGTGGGAGTGTCCCATCATGCATGTGGTTTGAGTCTCCAGGCATGGGTGCAGACCCTCAGTGCTTAATGCTTCCTTCTCTGTGGCCACTGGATATGTGTCTCTGGGTGGTTGTGCTTGGATGAGAATGTATTGTGTTCCCATGAAGCATGCTGCAACTGTCTAGGACCCAGATTCCTGTGTTTATCTCCAGATTCCTGAGTTGATCTCCTCTCAAGTGATAAAGAGGCCAGACTGGAAGAAACCTGCCATGCACAGCACTCCTCAGGAGATGGCTATGGGCTGGAGCCCAAGGCCCCCAAGAAGGAACTTCCAAAGCAATTGGTCCTTGACATCTGAAGATTCCTTCCAGGATCCTGTGTCCCAGCTGGAGGGGTTCAGCCCCACAGCCACCTTCAGAAAGAAGAGGCTTTCAACTGTTGAGGATTTTGAGAGTTCCAGTGGGCAGGTAGAGCCCTATTCAGACCATTTAGCTGCAGAGGAAGAGCCATGCATGTCAGCCTCATTGAACAAGGAGGAGCGTCCAAAGATAGAGGCCCTGCAGGCAGTGAACTGGCCAAGGAACTCGGGGATGCCTGGAATTTCAGACACCGCCTGGCAGAGGAGGCGAGACCCAAAGAAGCGGGCAGCTGCAGTAGGTCCCCCGCATCCCATCCCAGCCCTGTCCTTAGGGAGTTCTAGGTCCCTGTGTGCTTCCCAGCTGTGGTATAGGGGAGGGGCACATTTACCTTCCATCACTCAGGTTCCTCTGGCCCCAAGCATGGGGTGTGCACAGTATACTCACCTCTGCCTATGAGGTCACAGGGCCTTCCAGCTTTTCTGACACTCAAGGCTCAGCTGTCTCAAGACAGCTTTTTGCTCAGAAGGGATGCTATGGATGCTGTTGCCTGTGGACACCATGACTTCCCAGCCCGGGACTTTGCAAGCCTGGTCCCCAGTGCAGGCTCTGGCTGTTTCTTGTCCCAGGCCTCTAGCTCATGGGCATCCAGGTGCTGTAACTGTCTTCAGTACTGAGGGTTCTGACAGGAATTGTCCCATTTTTCACCTCACTACCTAAGTTCTCCTAAAGGGCCATCTAGGCTCTTTACTGAACTTTGATCCTAGACACAGCAGGATGCTGTTACCATCTGGGAGGGTCCTGAGTTCTCAGGACCTGGCTGAGCTGCCCCAATCCCTTCCCTAGCCACAGTACTGGGACAGAGATAGCTCACTCTCACACAGCAAGAGCACAAGCCGCACTTAACCCCTGCCTCTCTCTGGGGTGCTTCTGCCTCTCCTGATGCCAGGGCCACTCTTTACCAGAGCCCGAAGATTAGGTAAGTACCAGAAAGCATCCTGGCAGGAGCAGTGGCCAAAGTAGACAGAGCATTAAGAATACGTGTCTTGCCGGGCGGTGGTGGCGCACGCCTTTAATCCCAGCACTCGGGAGGCAGAGCCAGGCGGATCTCTGTGAGTTCGAGGCCAGCCTGGGCTACCAAGTGAGTCCCAGGAAAGGCGCAAAGCTACACAGAGAAACCCTGTCTCGAAAAACCAAAAAAAAAAAAAAAAAAAAGAATACGTATCTTTAGGCCAGGTGTGGGGAACAGCTGTAACCCCAACAATGGAAGTCAGAGGCAGGAGGCCAGCCTAGGCTACATACCTGAGACCATCTCAAACAACAAACACATGCTTTCTGTCAGTTTCCAGTTCCTGTCAACAGACCCCAATTCCAAACCCTCCCACCCGAAGCTTGAAGCGTGAGGGTTTGGCTCAGGAGGGTCTCGCTCAGGAGGAATTTTCTTCCAGTTCATTTCTCCCCTGTATCCTCCAGAGGATGCTAACCTCTAGGGTAGCAGATATCAGTACAGCCAGCCTCTTTCATGGCAGGGCCTCTGCTTTCTACCCACTGCCTGCAGATTTTAGATTCTCACTCTGATAAGCTTCAGGCGCTGACCTCTCCTGAGACTGTGAAAGCCTAGGTCTGGGATCCACCCTTTCTCCACACTTGGGGTAACACACAGAAGACAGGGAGGGAGAACCCTGTGGGTTTGGCTGGTATCTCAGACCTGAACGAGGGCCCCAGACCTGCTGGGGACTTTCCTTCCCCAAGTGCATTGTGCACATTGGTTACCAAGAGTGACGGCAGTTCTGCGGATTTCTGTCTTCTACACAGATGCAACGCTTGAGGCAATGGGAGGCCCAGCAGCTTCAGGAAATTGAGGAGGCGGTCCATCACGAGCTTACCATCCAAGAGGAGGTTCTTAGCACTGAGCTCCCCGACCAAGCCCAGGGGCCACTTAGCTTCAGCACAGTCAGGGTTGATGCCCAGGATCCTGCTGCCTTGGCATGAATTAAATCATCTACACCATTCACTCCAGCTGGCCCAGGTAGGTAAGAAGGAAGCAGACCTTGTTACCTAAACTGTAAGGTGGGGGACGAATTGCCTAGGCATGTGGAGAGATTGGGGGGGGGGCACATTAAGGGGCACAGTTGGCAGTTCGAAAGAGAATGAGATTTCTTTGTGTTCTTGAAAAGGTCACTGGGCTCGATTAAACCCTGTGCTCTCTACTGCCTGGCTTTGACCTCGGGGACAAATTGCTCTGCTCCTCTGACCCTTGTTTTCCTTATCTGAAAACTGGCAAAAACTTAGCAGGTGCAATACAAAGCCCATGGACCCAGGTGCTGCTGGCCCAGCTCCCTTGGCTCTGGGAAAGCTGTGTGTACTGGGGACATCCTGATTCTCTGGGCTGAGTTCACTCAGGCCTTCAGCGAGCCGGGACCAGAAGGAAATGGGCCATGGAGTTCTGAAATACTAGGCCAAGTGCAAGTGTGGTGTGACTGAAGCTCTGAGCTTACCCTGGGGACTCAGCTAGGCCCATGGTGGAGAGGACAGGCTGGTACCGAGTGGGACCAGGGCTGGTACAGATGGAGGGAGGGGGTTGGTGTGAGTCCTCGGAGGATGGGAGAAACCGGCAAAGAGTACAGTTTCGGGTTTGGGTTTTAGTTCCCTCAGGAATGGATTGGATCCACTTTCTAGTCGTCTTCAGGGCAGCACGGTTAGAAAGCTCCAATTTCTAGACACCTGGAAAGCTGCAGCTGCTGCTCAAGGCTGTGCTGTGTGTGGGTGGGACAAGGGGAATAGAGGCCCTATGGAAGCCTGGGCAGCTGCTTACCCTGCCCATTTTCTCCCCATGCTCTGTCTCTGCTAAGTATCCTAGCCCTAGGTGGTGGATGAACCTCCAGATAATGCAAGGAAGGAAACACTAAATGGTCACCCCTGGAGTTAACTGCCTCCACCTGTTCTCAGGCTGGCCTCTTTATACGGACATGCTGTGGCCACTTAAGTCCATTTTATTCTTGGATATGTTTGCTGTTTTCTTGCTAAAAACAGATGTATGTTTATGTTTCCAGTGCAGTCTATTCTACTTCCTGCCTGTCCTGTCCTCAATGGCTGCAGATAAAAGGTTAGCACTCTAGTGAAACCAAAAAGAGAAAGCCCTAATAAAAGAAGGTCTAGGCATATGCAGGGTCCCAGGCCACCTGCTTGGAGCCTCAGGTAACAGGTTTCATTGTCTGCTTTCAGGAGCAGGCCAGCAGCTGCTGTGGCTGTGACAGAAACATCGGATTCCACACGATGTTCTCCATAAGTTATCATTTACTTCCTATTTCAACATCTGCATGTTTTACAAGCCACTTCCCATTAAAATAATTCTCTATTTTCATTTGTGTAATTATCTGGTTATAAAATCAGTCCTGTCAGAATGTCAGAGCTTTATTAATTTTTCAAATAAGACAGAATACTATTTTTGAAACCTGATTAGAACTGTGTAACATAGAGATGAACGCATCAGAAAAAAGTCTTTCCGATCTTCATTATTAAAAATAAACTTGCCGGGCGGTGGTGGCGCACGCCTTTAATCCCAGCACTCGGGAGGCAGAGCCAGGCGGATCTCTGTGAGTTCGAGGCCAGCCTGGACTACCAAGTGAGTTCCAGGAAAGGCGCAAAGCTACACAGAGAAACCCTGTCTCGAAAAACCAAAAAAAAAAAAAAAAAAAAAAAAAATAAAAAAAAAAAAATAAACTCTTTTCAGGAGAACTATTTCCAAAGTTTGGGCTTGAATGCAAATCAATTCAGATGTGTAGCCAAGAGAATTCTATTTCAACCTCACGTTTCAAAGACTGAAATTCAAACACAGAATGAGCTCAGGGAAGCAGTTTGGGGCAATGTGTTCTTGAAAGAAAGACTTGCAGGCCTCAGAGGAAGGGCTTGGGTGACAGATAATTTCCTGGACATTTATGTTGTGTTTTCTGGATTATTGTGTATTTGCCCAGTTAGAGTATACTTTACTCACAGACACTCAGCTGAAGTGATTAAAATGTCATTCTTGGGGCTGGGTTGGCAAGACGGCTCAGTGGGGTAAGGGTGCTTGCTGCCATGTCTAACAGCCTGAGTTTGATCCCTGGAGTCTATACAGTAGAAGGAGAGAACTGACTCCTACAAGTTATCCTCTGACCTAAAACACCTGCTCATGTTCTCACATACAAACAAAACAAATGTCAAAAAGTTATTTAAAACATGCCATTTGGGAGGATACTTGACCAATCGGGCAGTGCAGAGAGTCCACACTCTGTTTGTAGCAAGATACTGAGAGGCAATCCAGATAATGCAAGGTCCCCTTTGGACTCTGACACTTTGTGGGTCACAAGGAGTCATTGGCTTGGGAGAAACAGAGCCTTGTAAAGCTGGTGCTGCTAGATCAGGCTGTTCAAACAGCAGGATCCCTAAGTTAACAATCCCGTGATAATTGATGAGTAATGGTCCTTAGTGATGATGGCAACAATGGTTGCTTAGAGATAAGCATGGACTGTTTGAGTCTGCAAGACCATGTTTTGCAAAATAGCAATCCTAAAACCTACAAGAAAAAACTAAAACATATTCTGCTTCCTGGCAGTTCCAACTTGCAATGCCCTCAATCTCTGAGCGGTTTTTCCCTCTATCTGATCTTTTGCAGTCATTCTTGTCTCCACACAGTGCCTCACCACTGTCACCCATTTCTTATGGAGTGTGGTTAGGGAACTAATTTCTAATCCTGTGGCATGCCTGCCTTGGGTTTTGAGTTCCCCCATGGAGGGACAGCTCCTTTGTTCTGATTAGAAATCACTGATAGGCGAGGGCTCCCTGCTGCACTGTCATTTCCTGTGGCTGAGTGGTGAGTGATCTCTGGGCAGCACAGTGGCTCACAGCACACCCCTTTATCATGGCCCTGCTCTGGTAGTTCAGCTGGGGTTCTCCCTGGGATCCCAGAGTGAGACTGTGACTGATTCCCTGGCATTGCTGGACAGAAATCTACCCCCAGGTCTGTTCATGTTGACTGATTCTACTCCTTGTGATACCAATAACTGGCTGGGGGCTTTCTGTTGCACTCAGAATGGTGGGTAGAAGGGGAAGTGCCTTTGGTATGGGCAGGCCACCAACCAGCTCCAACCCGAGGCCTAATGCTTCAGGCTCTAGACACCACAGACCATTTTTCATGCACTGGGGTTGTCAGCTTATGGCTACGGCTGTTGTCTTCAACAGTAGCTGGCAGTAGCGGTGGCAGGAGTGTCTAACAGTGTGACAGTTTTCAAACAGGACTTGGAGGCTGGGACCGACAGCACCAAGCAATACAACTTTCTGAGCTCTGTGGGTAGGGTGAAGGCAGTCTTACTCTTTGGGGCTAATAATCCCATTTTCAAGGCAGCTGGGACATCAGGGCAGAGTCTAACAACTTAGAATTAGGTCCTCAAAGTCTAAGCAAGGAGATACAAACTTTAAAAGACGTACTATTTTAAAAACTGCCTACATGAACATTGAGAGTGATTCACTTGTGTTCAGCAGTACTGAAGCCCGGCTTAGCCCCTGCTCCAGAGGCCCAGGGAGAGCAAGTCCTTCTAATCTGTTCCCTGAAATTGTGGGTCTAAGGTTTTGTTCTCTCACTGGATGTCAAAGAAGAGATGCTCTGCTCCAAGATACTGACCCTCTTCTCCCTAGTCATGCAGCTAAGCTAACCCTCTAAGCCAGTGTTCTTAACCTTCCTAATGCTGTGACCCTTTAATACAGTTCCTCCTGTGTGGTGACCCCCAACAATGAAATCGTTTCCATTGCTACTTCATAACTGTAATTCTACTACTGTTACCAATTCTAATGTAAATATTTTTGGAGATAGGGCTTTGTCAATGGGGTTGCGGTCCTCAGGTTGAGAACTGCTGCTCTAAGCCATTCATGACTGGATAAAACCTGTCACCCTTCAGAGCTCTCCAGCCGATCCTTCTGCCACCAGCCAGAGATGGTTTTCTGCTCTCGGGAAACAAGGGAGGTCCGAGTATAAGATCATATAGCCCCCAGCACAATTAGGAGTGATACATCATACCGTTACAAGTGATGATGATGGAATCTCGGTGGGAGGACATCTCAGAACTTTGTCTACTGCAGCGTGTTACCAGTTGTTCGCCATTATCAGCAGCACATGAAGGCCTGGAGTGGATGGGGGATCAACTAGGGTTGGTAGGCTATCGACCACCATTAACATCCTGGAGTGGTTTTACCGTACTCAAGGAATTAATGCCCTGTGATCCCTGTGACCGTTTACCAAGTGATGACTAACTCCCTGTGACCAAGTGTACAAGTGTGATCTCACAGCAGATTTCCTCATGGTACATCTATTATCTTTCTAAAAACGTCATCCCAGTAAGGGTGGATACGACACGATAGTGCTTTCAATTTGTGTTCCTTTAATTAATAGTTCTACTGATGACCATGTTTCTGCTACATTGTATTTCTTAATCTCAGACCTTCCATAATTCCATATACACCTTTTTAAAATCTATTGGAATATTCATTCCACAACTTTAAAAAAAAAAACCTTTTCCTAGGACATGGTTTTATTTGACATTAAAGAGGCAGTCTTTAGTTAACAGAGAAAAACTGTACATCATCTATGTTGATAGTTAATTCTGGGTCATTTTGATCAGGCCACCCTCCAGGAGTCTGTCTGGACTCCATACAGATGTTGCTATGAAGGTACTTTTTACACGGGACTGCTACTTGTAAAAGACTTCAAATAAAGCAGGTGACCTGCCACCAGCGAGGGTGGCCTCATGTTGTCAGATGCAAGCTGCAAACTATGCTCCTCCTCAGTCTCTGCCCAGCGGGCTTCAGACATGCCCGCCCCAGTCCTGTGAGCCGGTTCCTGAAGCTAAGTTCTGTTTTTGCACCCCTCCCTGATACCAGAGTACACCCACCCACCTCCCCTCCCTCCTGCTTCTCGCTCTGGAGAACTTTCCAAACACCAAAGGAAAGACAACTTGAAA